CACTAAGGATCATTTTCAAAACTTGATGAGTCGAAGCCCCTATAAAAATGGACAAGTTAATGTTCACTGAATATATTAATTAGAACATTAAGGATGAACATATTAGGAGGACTCATCAAGTTTTGAAAATGACCCTTAGTATGGTTGAAACGTTAAATTGATGCGTAATAATAAAATGTTGATGAAAAATGGCTAATTTATTGTAACAAATAAAAAAACTTCAAGACACCAAAAGTAGAAAAAATGAACAGGAGAAAAAATACTGATTAGTTATTGTAACTTTAATGCTCATTAACCTGGTGTTTACTTAAGTTTAATTAGGTAACTGAAAAGCTGATTTTGCTAGAAAAGCTAATAAAAACTGAATCTGTTTACATAATTTTTTTAAAAATAATGAATGTTTAGATAAGGTTTATCAAATATAAAGGTTACCAAATAATAAACTTTAAGATTCCCTGATTTTAATAGTCATATATCTTGAAAAAAGATTAAAAACTTGAAAAAAAAAAAGGTTATTGCACAAGAAGGAAAGCCTTGTGCAATTTCAAAACAGTGAGAGGTATCAGTTTTACTTAAAAAAATGTGGCGCGCACAACACACAACTTTCACTTACCGCTCTACTTGAATAAAAATTATTTTCTGGCAATGTAATGCTATTTTAAAATTTTTGAAGTGCATTTTTAACTGAGCCAAAGCTTAAAACTTACAACTAACAAATCATTAATACCATTAAAATAACAAAAATCCTATTTATTATAGATTGTACGATCCGTTGATTATTGATTATGATGATGGATTGTAGGACAATTAGTTAATAAACTGTTATTTTCCATTTCAAAGTTTACTTAAATGGAATTAAGAGATTACCAATGTCTGTCAAAGACAGGTCAAAAGTTGTCATACTAATTTTAAATGGATACTGTTGGAATATTACAAAGGGAAAGTTCATCAAATTATTTACTAATTTAATTTTTTTTAAGTTACATGATGTTTCATCGGAATAAACGGACGATAGATACCTAATTATTTAAATATAATATCAGATTTAGAGTTATTAAACAACAGTAAATGCATTTAAGGTTATATACATATCCATGAAATATTTTTATATTTCACTTCTTTTTTCACACTAGTATTTTAAACAATGCCATTACCTTGATGCGGTGGATTTTAAATAATTTTTTCAAACTTAAAAGAAATTTTAAAAGTTTACATTTATTAAGAAAATTTTATTTAATTTTCTTGAAAACCTGTGATTTACATTAAATAATGTTAGTTCTCAGAAATCATTATTTTTATGTTTTTCGTCACTTACCGTTGTTTAAAACCTTCTACAACTTCATGTATTAGATATTATTTTTTCTAAACTTCTCTGCTTTCCAATGATATATTATATGTATACCTTCTGACTATTATTTCTGAAGATTCATTTTTGATCTGGATAAGCATTTTTCTTTTTTTCTCCTTTATTCAATTATCAAATTCATTCAAAAGTTGTAATTTAGCGTTTTTTCATAACTCTTTAACGATGGGAGATAGTTAATTATTTATAATAAACCAAATTAAAGGTACTTTAGTGGAATACCATTTGAACATCCAGCATTTAAGCCCTGTTAAGCGACATCAATTGGGTTAAGACCTCAATGGTATTAAATATCAGTTAATTATACATTGATAAACCGAGTTTAATCAAAATCATCAGAGCCGTTTTGAGAAAATCATAAAAATGTGTTAGATCAATGATATAGAGTGCTACTTCCGGTTTGCTGATTTTGACGAAAAAGTTGCTGTGGTATCTCAAGCATGTACAAACCTTAAATAAGCAATTTCAGTTTTATAAGACTTTGTTTTTTAGCTAGAATGTTCATTCACAGACACATACTCAGACTCACACACAAACCACAGACATGCAGACCATTTTGTGAGATTTAGTTATTTGGACCCAGAGAACCTCAAAAAGTGTATTTCTGTTAAAATATCGGATTCAAAAATTTTCATGATCGCAATACTTTACCTTACTATTTATTTCATTTATAGGTTAGTGAAAGTAAAAAGAGCTTGACTGAACCCCCTTAAAAGAAAGAAAAAATTAAATTCGAATAAGCCAGTGTTTAAAAATCTAGAAAGAATATAGAAGATTCTGATAAAGCGTATAGAAAATTCTACATTTGAAAAAGACTTGGCATCGTAAAAACTTATTGTACTTCTTGGGATTATCTATGTCTATATAAAGGAATAGATTTCTTAGACCAAGGAGATTAGTGAGGATGAACTCTGTCAAGCAGTTGGTCTATCTAAAGTTATCAATCCTCTCTCAGTCTAAAGATTCCTTTGTTTTAAAATAATATTGAATAATTTTATCAACGTATGTCTTCAGAGAGCTGTGAATTAATTTTAATTTTTCTTACTAATTTTAATAAATATTAATTAATTTGAATTAACTCTGTAATTATAACAAAGAAATGGGTATATTGTAATTGTTCAAACCACCAGACTTCCTGTAGGAATTTCAATTTTAAATAAAATTGTAAATCTATATCATTTTATAATAGAATGGCTCTTTTTCAGTCTACAAAAACAATAGGACCAGTTTTCACGCTTTTTTTGTAAAATGTTTCCTGTTGTCTCAAGGTAGTTTTAAGCTATTGAAATTCCCCATCTGACCTGTTGCAAGTATGGGAACAATCTTTTCATTCATGTTTAAAGAATTTTGTGGGAAGATACATGTTTGGGATTCCAAACTCTCTGATGAGTGAAATGGATTGTATTTACATTTTTTTGCTTATTTTGGAAGGTCTTATTGTTGTATCTTAAATAAAATAAACTAAAAATAATTTATAAATCTATAATAGATAAACTGAATCATGTATTATTAAATATCTTCTACAAAGGAAAGAAGGGAAAAGTAATGTATATGTATACAGGATGTTCCGTAAGTAGAGGGAAATATTTAAAAGATTGATAGCAGATATGTAGATATACAAAAAAGTTCATATAAACAATTGTCCAATTTCCAGCAGAAAAGTAGGAAATTTAAGATTTGTGTTTTTTAAGCGAGTCACGTTTTTTGTTTAATAGGAAGCGATAACTTTAAAAATATTTGATTTAAGTAACTGAACATTGCTCCATAGTAAACAAAACTATAGTAAACTATTAGCAAAAATTACTACGATTAACTGTTTCAAAGCTTTTATTTCTCATTTTTCCATGATATGAGATGTATTGTAATAAACATAATTGCCTAAAAACACGTTTATAAAAATAAAAAAATTAAAAATAATGATTTTTCATGTAAAGTGGTCATGAAATTGTATTTTTATCCCAGACATTTATCATAGGAATTGATGCTTATTTATACGTGGAAAAGTTTAATGTTTTTAGTCCTAATATTTACGTTTTCATGAAAATAATTAAAGCTATCAGTAGGTTTCTTCATTTTAAACATTAATATTAGTAAAAAAATTTAAGTTTGTCACTTATAAATCACAAATAATTTATGACTTTTTTTTTAAACGGAATTCAGCTGTGTTTGTCCTCCCAATAGTCTTCTGTAAATAGTTTTAACAATGACAAACTCTACTTTCATTTAAAGTAAATTTTGTTCTAGTTTAATTTCTTAAATTAAATATTTTTCAAGTTATCAGTTCCTATTCAACAAAAAAGGGGATGCTTTTAAAAAAACACTAATCTTGAATTTCCTACTTTTCTGCTGGAACTTGGGCAATTGTTTACATGAGCTTTTTTGTAGCTCTTGATGTCTACTATCAAACTCTTAAAAATTTTGCTCTACTTATAGGACAATAAAAAGAAAAAAATATATAAAACGATGTCTTATATAAAACTTTTTTAGAGAAACATTAATGCTTTTATGGTTTTATTTCTCCTTACACCTACTTGCTTAAATACATGTGTTATAATTTAAAAAAGAGTTTATATTTTGATAGTTTAAGTATTTAGCTCAGAAAGCAATGGGACAATGAAAAAAAAATATTATTTTACCATTTAAGCCCTAATGTACATCCTTTCTCACATATGCCTTCTAAAAAAAAATATCAAGGAAAAAGGAGAAAAAATATAGACTTGAAAGCTACTATGTAGAATTTGAAGCAAGTGATGTAAATGGTCAAGTCCAACAGGAAAGTAAAAAATGTTAAAAGAACCTGACATAATCATCAGGTCAGTAAATTGAGTTTGGCTGGCGAAATGGTGACTAAAATGAGCCTAGGTTTCTGCTAAAAAACTGCTAGGAGGAATTTAGGACCATACTAGAAGAAGAAAATTGTGAGAGGTAGGTGCAGATGTATCTTGAACATCAGTGTCGGAAGAGACCACAGGGAACTCCACCGGTTCGAGCTTCTTGGCGAACGCTCCTTGAGTAGGCTAGAATCCATACAGGGTTGTAATGCTGTCCATTGTTCTGTTTGGTTTAGATTGTATAGGTGATCCAGGTCTCAAATATAAATTAATAGCTAAGCAAAAATTTTATTTTCTTGTAGAAACCTCTTCACTATTGAAATTTTGATCTATCTATCTCCTATTAAATATTAAAAGTTCTTTTAAGTTAGTCATAATAATACGCAGATCAGCAAATTATCAGATCTTGGTCCACTTCCAAGTGACATCAATGCTGTATAACTTATACTACCATATATTGTTTTTTGGTCATTTATGTCCTTATGTAGTAAAGAAGTCAAAACAAATCGACTTTTATTCTAGTCTTTTTAAAATCAATCATTTTAATGGTATGATGTTTTTAAATAAGTGTTAAATCAATTTACTTATTCAAATGAATTCATTAAATTAAATAAATTGTTAGTTATTAAACTTATGGTCTGTAGTCACCCTCCTCATTCGCTCTCTCTCTCTCTCTCTCTCTCTCTATATATATATATATATATATATATATATATATATATATATTTTTTTTTTTAAATTAATTTTTTGTTTATTATATATGAAATGTATATTAGAAATGGTTTCAATGGATTATTTTATTTTAGGAGAAATGGAGGTTGAACCTTTGTTTGCTGAGGGAGATGAATATAATCTAAGAACTGAAACTGATTTCTGGGCTCCTGGTCCATCGATACAGGGTCCAACATATTCATCCAGGCATCGATATAACTCTCGAAGTAGAAGATATCGACCAGGTTTGTTATTGTTGGAATTTCTTCTTTTTTATTTTTTTTTTGTTTTCTGATCAAAGATAATTGGGTGCTTGTATGAAAATTAAATTTTTATTTGTTGCTCGTACCGTTTATTATCTTAACCTTAACTTATACTAGTGTTTCCAGCTTCAAAACTTCCATTCCAAGATCATTCTGTTTTTTCTGTCACCTAGTTATTTTTCTATAAACTTATTTAGTTTAAAATGTATTTTACCATTTTATATTGGTGAGAGACAGTTTGGTAGCATTGTGTTAGAAGCTACTGTTGTCTCAGGCCACACCCCCACAACCCTCAGACTCCCACCATAGAGATCCTCTGTTATTTAAAGTTTTTAGTTAAAAATGATCTTTTGTTATCATTTGAAAAGAGAAATTTAAATCTTATAAATGTTCTTTATCACTGTAATTCTATCACAGCTCAAATTTACATGATTTTTTTTTGTAAATACTCAATTGCTTGTTTCTTTTTTTATTTATCATGACGATTTAGAATTATAATAATAATAATAATAAAAGGCTTAGCGAATCCGAAGGTTCGATGCCGACACCACCAATCGCTTATTACACACCTCCCCCCTCCACCGTTCGCCGTCCAAACCCAGTCCCTTCAGATCGGCTATAATGCAATCTTCCCACTTTCGCTTCAGTCTACACATCGGACGTTTACCATTCGGTACAAAAAATATTAACCTTTTCGTAATTCTCTCGTTACAAAGCCCAACAGTTTTACAAGCCCATTTGATTCACCGCGATGAAATTACCTCGGATGAAATTATCATATTACTCGGATACAGTTCACGCAAATCGGCGTTGTGTAACCGTCTGAACTCTCAGGTTAACTCATCCTTCTTCGGTCTGAATATTCTATGCAATACTTTATTTTCAAAAACCTTAAGATGCTGCTCATCCCTTAATGTAAGAGGCCAAGTTTCACATCCATAAAGAACTGTAGGTAAGATAATGGTTTTATAGATTCTAATTTTTAAGTTCCGGAAGAAGAGGCCTGAGCTAAGTAGTTTTGTCACAGAAAAATAACAAGCATTTTCCAGCTTCAGTCTAACCTTAATCTCTTCTTCAATTTCGTTTTTTCTAGTTATCGTAGAACCTAGATACCTAAATTTCTCTAACTGTTCAAACATATTACCATCTATATCGATACCACCAGTAGTATCACCATTTTTGCAGCTAACCATATATTTTGTTATATCTGCGTTTATTTCGAGCCCTAGTGCTTTACCCGCTTTCATTAACATTGTCGTATTTAGTTTTATAGTTTCCACGTCTTGATTGTATAAAACTTAGGCAGCTACTTCCTCATTTGGTCCAGCCATAAAGTATATAAGGGCATGGAGGGAAGAGGTATGTGCCCAGGTACTCCCACTCTAAAGGTAGTACCTACTGATACTCCTGCCCAAGGGGGTTTCCTTGCTTTTAATCACAATTTAATATTTAAACCATATCATTATTTTAATATTTATATATTTTTGATCTAATATTGTTTCTACAGGGTTTAATTGCATTCTATGAAATGAGTAGGAGTGTAGTATAGTGTTTAAGGGGTGTTGCTTTTGGTTTTACAATCGGAAAGATGAATAATATTTTCATCTTCTTCTTCTTTCTCTAGCTCCTTTGTGCTGTTAAGCGTGGAGCTGCAGTCCCAGCCCATCTTGCCCACTGGTCTCTGTCCCTGACTAGTCTTCACATCTCCGGTATGCTGCGTCCTCTTTCTGTGCCCAGTTTTCCAATATAATCATGGTAAGTGTGTCTCGGCCTGCCACTGACGACCTGCCACTGAGGTCGTCTGCCTTCCGGTCTAGCTGTGATTCTGCCTACGTGCTTATCGAGGGTTGTCCAGCTTTCAGATCCATAAAGAAGTACTGGGAGGAACACTGCTTTATATATCGTAAGTTTGGCCTTTCTGCTTACTTCCCGTTTTCCTATGATTGTATTGGCTATCTGGTAATATATCCCATTGGCCTTCATCACCCGATTTAGTACCTCCTGGTCTATTTTACCATCTTCATTGATGATTGTCCCCACATACGTGTATGCATTTGTTACATTTAGGGATTCACCATTACTTAACATCATAGGCTCCGCATTATCTTTTCCCACGCACATAACATTGCTCTTAGACAGATTTATATGCAGCCCTCGCAGCTTCAATTCTTCTTCCCACTCGACCAATGATGTCTGTAGAGCCTCTTTTGAGTCCGGTATAAGAATTATATCATCGGCATACAACATAGCTTGAGCCAACAGTGGTGTCAAATTCTAATATCCCACAACAGCCCTTGGGGTTCTTCTTTTACACACTTTCCAAATTTCATCCATGAGAAGGATAAATAGCAGAGGACTAAGACTATCCCCTTGCTTTACTCCTTTATAAAAGTAGAAAGGTTCTGATGTGTGTCCATTGAGCCTTATTACACCCTTTGGGGCTTGGTTTATTGATTTTATAGCACTCACCAAGTTTGCAGGTACTCTTCTTCTAATTAGTGAGTCCCATATCTCTTGTCTCAGAACTGAGTTGAATGCGGCCCTAAGATCCAGAAATGATAGATAAACCAATTTTCCACTGTCCCATGCTTTTTCCACAATCATTAGTGAGAATATGTGGTCTTGGGTCTGTCTGCCGGGTCTGAAAGCGGCTTGCTCCTCCTCTAGATTTTGCTCTACTATATGCCTTAGTCTCTGTTCAAGAATTCTTGTGTATATCTTGTACACAACTGACGAGAGGCATATTGGCCTATAGTTCCCGCATTCGCTTTGGCTGCCTTTCTTGTGAATAGGGATTATGATATTGTTCTCCCATTCTCGTGGTATCAGCTTGAGGTCCCAAATCTTTTGGAAAAGAGTTTGAAGGATCTTGATCATTTCGTTGCCTCCATATTTAATTAATTCTGGAGCTATCTCATCTGGTCCTGGTGCTTTTCCCATTTTGATTCTGGCTACTGCCGTTTCCACCTCATCCTCGCCTATTGCGTCATCCAAGTCTTCCGGGTAAATCTCTTCCACCATCACTCTCCTTCTGCAGTCTCTGTGATTATGGCTTCGGTGTTCTTCCATACTAAATTTTCCCTGGAACAACTGTCTTCACACTTCTAGTACCTCTTTTTCTTAATGTTACCTATCCTTAAATCTTTCTTTTAAGGTGTTATTCATATTCACCCTCAGAAAAATGTTTTAAAATGAAGCACTTAATCCATTCTTCCTTATGATTTTTAAAAAAGAATTAGTGGTCATAAAATATTTAGTATGCGTGAACTATAAGATTCTACATCCTGAAGTAAAATAGCTATTGGTTTAAAATCAGTACAACATTGCAAATCGACAATTGTGACAATTATTGTGTTGCCCAATATTATTATATCACAAATATATTATTGTTTGATGGTTTAGACGAATATTTTAAATCCTTTTCTTCTTTTTTTTTTAAATGTTGTTAAAGATGAACAACAATTACTTGAACCAATTTTTTCGAATTTAGTTTTGGACATCGAGTACATTGTGGTTTATTTCATAACTTTTTTAAAAATATCAACACAGAAATGTATTGTTTTTAAAACTTTTTGGTATTTTCACTAGGGTGCGTTGTAAGAAAATTAAAAAGTGAGACAAATACTAAAAAAAATTATACAATTTTCAAAGGATAGTAATTTAATTTTATCTGCGGGTTTTGTAAATTTCATTTTAAATAGTTTTAATATCAATTTTACATTAAATAGCTAATATATGTCTTGTTATTTATTATAAAGTCGATGATTTTTGTTGTGTTTCTTTATTGAAATTAAAATGCTTAATTGGTTCATTGCATTTAATATTCCATGTCTTCTCCCCAACAAATTAAAAAAATATTTAATGACAAATTAGCAAACATCTTAAGGTAGAAAATCCAAATTACACAAAAATTAGGACACACCTACATGGCTTTATATTATAAAATCAAAGCTAATAAACACAAGTAGATTTCTAAATACCATGTCATTTTTATGGTGAATTATTTCACTGACATTTTTTATTGACTAATATGTTAAATGTTTAAGCCAGTGAAATATTTACATTTCGATTTATACTTTTATAAAAAGCAAGATACCTTGAAATGTAAGGAAATCTAACTATGATCTAGCAGACAACCATTGACTTCTTGAGGAAATAATTTGTCATAGTCAAAATCAAGCTAAACAAAAACAATATACATATCATAAAAATCCCTTACACAATAAAATTGAGTTCATACTGGAAGAAACAAGAATATCTCAGAATGCTGTCGTACTTGGTTTATATATAACATCTGCCGATCGCTGAATGGTTTCAGATGAAGATAGTGATAATGGGATAATTGGTGTAGAATTCAGTAACTTAAATTTTTGAGAACTGAAAACAGAAGTGGAGTTAGTGCTTTACAATAATGATTTGGTTATAAGAATAAACAAAAATAATATTTATGTCCTTAAAGCTTTAGCTACCATTAAAAAGTGGACAATTATGTCAATTAAAAAACATTTAACAAAAATAATGTAAAAAAACTTAATAATTTATATTTAATTTCATGTTATATAATTTTATGTCTAATTAAAAATAGATTGTCATAAGATTTTTAGATTGTCTCAAAATGGTTATGGTCATCTGTTATTTTAAATTAATTTAAGAAACATTAATTTTATTGATTTTTCTTTGTTTTATCAACTGAAATTGTTTATTTAGAACATTTATTTATTTTTTATTTTTTTTGTGATTCCCCTATATCAATGACTTATATATGTTAACAGGAGGTGAAGGTGTAGAGGAGGCTGGTCCTTCAAGGTGTGAACCACATGTAACTAGAGGTGGACGTAGGAAAATGTATTCTCGTCGTCTGACTCCACCATCACCTGCTACAACTAAGCCCAAACCTTATTCTTTGGAGAGAAATCCTTCTCTTCAAACTGTTGATGGAAATATGCCAAAGGATAAAAGTAAATTTATTTAATTTTATTTATGGAAATTAATTTTAAATTTTTTCTATGTCATATTTGGTACTGTAGAAACATTTGAATAAAATAATTTAGTACATCAATTATACCTTATCATAAAAAGAATTATTAGCTATTTATAGACAGTTGTGATTTACTAAGGAATAATAGTTAACAATAGTTTAAAAAGAGCTTGTAATTGATAGTGTATATGTTTATATACTTAGCTCCTACAGTCTTTTAAGTCTATGCTCAGAATTTATTTTTTCATACATTTTGTGATTTTCACCACTGTGTGCATAACCAGTAGCGGATCCAGGATTTAATTTTGGGGGGGAGGGCTTCAGCCCAAAAGCTTTTTTTTTCATAAAAATAACGATAATTACTTTAGAAAAAAAGAAAGAAACTAACTACCTGTATGAAATGGTGTTTAAGGGATTCCTAAAGCCCTTTTAATATTAATCACATGAACAATAATACTTTAAGAGATGCTTTTTTAATATTTTTTTTCGATAAAACATGATAATATTTTACCATTTGGAGGGGAGTGGGCTTCAGCCTGAAAGCTCCTCCCCGCAGATCCGCCCGTGTGCATAACTGCATCATAATTTGAAAATTGGCTTCTATTTGTGTGAACCATAGGTCAGGCCTATTATGCCAGAAAGGCAGTATTTTAACCGATAAGTGGTGAACTTCCTGCCTAATAACAGTTCCTTGTTTTTCACTATCGGATGGCATTAATGCTAAAAATAAAATGAAATAGTTGTCACTTACTTGATGAAAATGTGCAAACGTTCAGGTAAAAGTTTCATAAATATTTAATTTCAGTTATTGAACGAACATTGGGCTACCACTATGTGGGAGTATTATCATATAAACAATAATAACAATTTAATATTCTTTATTTTTGGACATTTAACATCTCAACATCAAACATATGTCTAATCAAAATCAACCACACATATTAAAAGCTATTTTTCTTTATAATAATTATGTTTCCGCCACAGTCTTAATAAATACTTATTTAAATAACTTGCTTGCTTTTATCGGAAATAGGCACATATTGAGCTAGGAAGTTCAGAAACTGGGTCTTCTGTTGCCCCTCTGTTACACTTATATGTTGTACCTCTGCTGCCCCTTAAGGCCTAGTGGCCAGCCTCAAGGTTTAATGGAGCGAAAATAGAACTCGAGTGACTATAAGTATTTTGGATCCCACCTGAGTGAATATGGATGGGTTGATAGCATGATAAAGGAGAGGATAATAACAGAGGGAAGATGCTTCAATTTCCTGGGGACTGGCTTCCCAGGAAAGAAAAATTATTCAAAACATACCAAGAAAGTAGTCTATAACAACATGTATCTTCCGATTCTGATGCAAGCGAATCTTGGACCCTCGTGACTAAACATAAGAGTCAGATCCAAGCAATTCAAATGAGATACCTTAAGAAGGTTGAGAGCAATACAAGAGGGACCGTGTTAGGAACACTGCGGTTAGAGAGAGCCTCGATATGAGACCGATTGAGGAAAGTAATGAGTAATTTAATTAACTAATTATTTTTATTAATTAATTTTCTATGCTTAAAAAAATTCCAAGAAAGTCAAGGACACGATCCTATAGTCTAAGAAGATAGCAAGGGAAAACTTTGAAAGAAAGCTGGAAGAGAACTTCATGGAAAAACAGAAGCTCTTCTATAGAACACTAAGAAGAACGTGAAGAGAATAGGAACCTACCCTGAAACACATTAAAGACAAACAGGGAAATATTATAGCTTCTCGGGAAGAAGTAATGAAGTGGAAACAATATTTCAGAGAATTATTGGAAGATAACTAGAAATAGGACACCGAGAAACTAGATCAACCCATCCTATCTCCCGAAAATTGGGAGGAATAGGACTACATCAATAAGGAAGAAATAATACATACTATAACCTCCATGAAATTGGAACGAGCTCCTAGCATCAATGGCCACTCCAGAGATGATGAAATACCTCGGAGAAAGAGGCATAGAGATTTTCCCTTGAATCTTTTATGGAATAGGAATAAGAAGAAGATAATAAATTCCACAAAAATCAAATTTCAAATCATTGAAATCAGATTGGGATTATAAATTAGTCCGTTATACAGAAAGATTTACTACAGAAAAGTGTCTGCTATGGGAATTTTTATGGTATTTGAAGAAAAAATAGTATTTAGTGAAGCCAGTATTATTAAAAAAATCTATGTACTGCAACTAGCATCACATTTTCGTGTGACTGAGACACTTCTATTGCAATAGTGATCATAATGAAATGGTCAGGATTATGATGAGATTTAACCACAAATTCCTTATTTTAAAGCAACATAGGAAATATTGATATCGATCTATTTCTGTTGTAGTCTTCTAACCAAGTTAGTTTCTCTTTTAAAAACCAAATTTCGTTATTTTTGGAATGCAATCTCAGATGCATTTCTTATGCCATTTAGATTTAGCAGATTTAATATTTTTGATTTTGTTTAAAGAAGGATAGTGGATATACAATTTTCCAATTAAACACCTTTTTTTTTTAAAGAAACTCTTAAAATTTCTTATCTAAATCAGAATTCTGAAAAGATTTCTGATTTATAAAACCAATGACTGTAAGAAAATTATATAAACCTGAAAATTGTACAGGTCCTTCTAAATTTATAAACTTTTTTTATTTTTGAATTATCTAAGAGTGTAATACATATATTTTTCTTTTGTTGTTTTAGCAATTCTTAGTGAAGATGACTCTCCATTAGCTCCTGATCTTCAATTGGATTGGTTTAGTTCGACAGAAGAAGAACCAAGTGACGACGATAGTGGAATAGAGTTCCTGTCTGTTCAATATGCAGATAATAGTAGTAATAATAGTAGCGGAGATAGTGGCCATTCGAGTAGTTCCTCCCATAGTACTCGTGGCTCAGCCAACACATCTGCTCCCAGCAACATTGGAAGCAACTCAATAGGAAACAGCCCCACGGTAGGATACTATTCTTTCAAACTACAATCTTAATAATACAACATAAAAAAATATATTTATTTTAAAACATACATGTACGATTACTGTTCAAATATGCTGTTTAAAAAATTAATTATGTAGTTATTGTTTTGTAATAGCTAAAAATTCTGTCTGAAAATTCTGTAAGGATTTTGGTAAACGATGTGTCAAAAGATACCTAATTTTATTAAGGAATAACGAATCCCGATTCGAGATACATAATTAGCCTACAATAAAAATGTCAGTACTCAGTTGACATAAAATTTGATGCTCTACAAATTTGATTCTATGGGTTTTTCCTCTTAATGAACTCATTTCCAAGTTACAGAGCCATTTATAGTAATTTGTCTCAGTTTTTGACAAATTTGGTAAAAATCAGCTGTGGTTTTATACCTTACCGCGTAACTAAATTATAAAGTTTATGTGCTCCTTTGACGCAAAATTTAATGTTCTTTAATTTATTAAACAATACATTTTTCGCTTGGATGCATCGTTTAGGAGTCATAGGTGTAAAAACCAAAAAATATTGAAAAAATCTCTTTTTTGCCTGTAAAAAGTTTTTCCTTGGTGGCCCGCGTTAGCAATTTTGTTTTTACTTGTCTAAAGCCTTATATATAAGTCAAAAAAAATAAAAACTTTTCTCTCATTTTTTGCAATGGATTTCCCGTTTCGATCCTCAAATTATTGGCCTATTATTCTTTAAATAAGCCGCCATTTTTGAAAGCTGCTCTGGAATGGCAGACAAGGTTCTTTTTACTCAGAATAACATATACTTTCGTAATTTACAACCTAACCTTCACCTGCGATCAGGTCGATTTTTGGGCCCTTGCTCCAGGGCTATGTGTTGACTGTTCTTAGGTTGACCGCTTATGTAGGTTTATATGTTATGTAGGTATGTAACAATTTTTTCAGCAAACAGCTGAACCAATTCTTAATTTGATGGCTCAAATTATTCAGTGTGATCCTGTGAGTGTTTTAAATTAATTTGTGCTCAAAACACCCATGAATTATTGACCAAAAATATGTTATATCTTTTTCTCAAAATTTAATTTTTTGAGCAAATAGCTGGAACAATTTTTATGTTTGAGGACTCAAATCATTGAGTGCGATTCTGTGTGTGTTTTGGTTTCAATAGGCATTCAGAAAGTCTTGATTTATTGGTGCACAATGGACCCAAAGGGGTCAACGTGCCTAAAGCCAACATTAATAAAAAAAAAAAAAAAAAAAAAGTCTTGATTTTCGTTTGGGGGAGGGGGGGAAGAGAGAGGAGGGGCATCAGACTAGTAAATCAAGTTTAAATATTTGTAGACCTCAATTTCCCAACAATTTGCCAAGTTGTTTCAGTTGATATACATGTATGTTTCCTAAGGATCGATAAGATTATTTATGTGGTTTATTTTACTCATAATGTACCTAGTTCTGCCATAAATACTGTTAAAAAGTTGAACTTTATTTACATCCTTGGGTATTATTTAGATTATCATTAGCTCTATCAGGTGATTTTCTTTATATGTCAGGATAATAATCCCAATTAGTTTATATTTTTCTTTAGCTCAAATAACATGAAGTGGACTGATAAAGAAAATCGAATAGCTGTGATCGCCTTACACCACAATGTTGGAAAATGTAGGTCAGAGATTTTCAGCACTTTTAATCCTTTAGGCATCAGTCGTATGTTTGTGTATTGCACTATAAATAGATAAAATGGAATCCTATCTGCATGCGACAGACCTCAACTGGGCTGTCCCCGCACTGTGAGAACGGCAAATGCAGTGAGAGCAATGGCTGCTTGAATCAAAAGAAATCTCATTTGAAAATCATGTCTCGGGAAATGGGAATCTGTCAAATCAATAAAAAGTGACCTTAGGATGGGTGCACTTCGAAACATGACTGGACAAAAGCTAACCATTTCCATAAAAAAAATTAGAGTGGATAGATGCAAAGTGCTTCTTTGTCCTTATACCAATGGTCTTCATCGAAAGATTTTGTTTAGCAATGAGAACATTTTTACCATTGAAGATAAATTTAATCACCAAACTGATTGTGTGTATGCACACAGCTCTAAAAAAGCCCAGGAAGTCATTGGAAGATGGAAAGAGGTCATCATCACCCTTCTTCAGTGATGATTTGCTGGGGAGTTTGCTTTATTGGCACCACAAAGCTACATTTTTGTGAAAAAGGAGTTAAAACAGGATGATATTTTGGAACCTATTGTCAATCCTGTAAATGACACCGTTTGCTGGAAGTCATTGGGTTTTCCTGAAGGATTCCACTGCAGCTCATAACTCAGCAATGGCTGCAAAAGAACATTCCAGAGTTCATCTCTGCCTCGGATTGGTCCTCAGGAAGCTCTGATCTCAACCCACTAGATTATCGGCTTTGTTCCGAACTGGAGAGGATGGTATGCCACAGAGCACACCCTAACTTGGAATGTCTCAAACAATGAGGGGGGCGGGGTGGTGGAATGGGCTAAAGCGTGTGCATTGCACCACGAGCTGCCTGGCAACCGGATAAGAGATTTGAGAAGATTTAAAAAGTAGAGTTCGCATCCCGGTGCCGGAGGGGATTTTTAATTCCCCGCCCTCACCTTCCGGCCCAGGAAAATCCCGTATAGCCTAAAAAGGCGAAGTAGGGAAGAACAAAAAAAAAAAAAAAAAAAAGTCTCAAACAATCTCTGGTCCAAGCAGTTTCCTCAAGCAGTGCTGCTATTGATGACTGGCCACGGGGATTAAATGCCTTTGTCAAGGCAAAAGAGGGACATTTTAAGTAATTTATTTTTTGTTTTACTCTCTATAGATACACATTTTATATAATAATGAAGTTTTTGAAAAAATTAATTTTTCTGTTGAAATCTGTATATATTTCCTTGTAAAAATATTTATGACTGGACTAGGTAGAATACCCGCAGAACATCGTTGCCGTGTGGGTTTCTGGATACTGTGCCCCAGAGAGGGGCAAATGCTACTCTGAGAGCACTGAGCACCGGGTGTTTTACTTAATTACTGTTTTTTTTTTTGAGTTCCTAAGAATTTAATTACTACTTCACTTGGTGTCAAACGATTAACTGAAGTATTGATTGAATCCCCATTAGTGATTCAATTTGAGTAAAACACTTGGTGATCGGTACTCAGAGTAGCATTTGCCCATCTTTGCTGTACCCTAATCCCAGATAAGATTCTTTCTAACTCTTCAGGATTTAAGTTTTCAACTATTCTATTCTTTAAAAATTTCTGCCTTTCATACACCTTTTTCATCTGTACGATTTGTAAATGGGGGAGAGGGGGGATTGGTCCACCATCACAGAAGCTTTTATAAAAAACAAAAATTACTGATTATGCAGGCATAGTTAAAAAAGTGAATTGCTAAATTTATTAGACTTATTCAAGATTTTAATGTTTCATAATAAAAGTTATTCAAATTTCTATTATGAGGAAAGGTAAAATGGGCTGTGATGAGGTTTTTATTTAATTTTATTTTCACATTTAATCTTATTTTCTCCAAGTTTGTACAGGGACAGATCCTATCTAGGTCTTCCTGAATTAGGATTAATGAAACTAATAACTTGGATGAAGGGAAGGATTAATATTAGATTTAGAAATTGTAGTAGAAGCAATAATTAATTGAATTAGGGTTATCAGTGATGTAGGAAAATAAAAGGAGTGGCAATTAATGATCACTCCAGAGATCAACTCCAGAACTCAATTGACTGATAGAATAGTGGTTAGCATGCTATTCTCTTTTAATAAAGGTCCTCAGTTTAAGGCTCTTGAAACCTGTAAAATCTTTCATCGTCGAGGTCGTGATGGCCGAGAATATTGAAGCGTTGCTCATTGTAGGATTTTCATGGCAGACCCACGGAATGGAACTCGACCTTCCCACTCTGGTTAGAATAAGTTTGGTTGTACCTCTAGAACAACCCTCACCTCCCAACATCCCCATATGCCAGAAATGGGATAGGTGGTAATCCAATACAAAAAAACTGCAGAGGACAGGGTAAGGAAGGAAAATGAGTGTTGATTCAGAATGATAACTGCTTAATTCTGTTTAAAGAGAAGATTGAAAGCCAGAGATTAGTGCTGTTAGAGATGTATCCATTTTTATATAAAACTTTTTTTTTATATTTATACAAAAACTCAAATGTATAGAAATTAAAATACACATGGAAAGTTTCATCGTTGATCAATCCCCGAAATACCAAAAAGGACAAAATGAGTTATTTATGTTTCTGTGACAGACTATATTTTCGCCTTACCATGTCGGTTCGTTTCAAGGTCTAATTTTGATCTCTGTAGAATAATTATTATTTCTTACCTTTATAAGTTAAGCATCCACCTGTACACTGAAATAGAATATATTATTTAATTCTCTGCAAAGCATCATGTAAACACCTGCACTGAACTAGGTGGGGTGGGACAATAGTAAACTGGACCTTCTTCCTTCAGATCAAACAGAAAGTTTTGTTTAAAACAACGCCCCGAATCTGTCCAAGCAAAATGAATTAGTAAACTGGCGGAATTTCCTACCGATATCCGATGATTCTCCCTGTTTTATTCAATATCTGATTAAGTTTGATTGCTGCTGTTTCTATATTGCTTCTCTGGCCACATCTAGTTTAGTTCTGTTGCTTATGTTTAAACGACTGTTCCAACAAATTGGTTGGGTGGTGCTCCTGATTTATTCAGTCTGGTCTAATGGTCTTAACGGATCTTAGTGCTTACAGCAGTTTCTAAATCATATGTTCTTAAGAACTGTTAGTATTGACTATTTTAGAAATTAAGTTATGGTTACAAACTTATAAATGGATACCATATCTATTTTGGTTTGAAACATTCTCGGACATTAGTATAGTGGGTCAGTATTTATACCAATTCCATCTTATTGCAAATCATTTCATTACTGTCCATTGAATTCCTCTCGCTTTTTAAAAATAGTATAGTTGTAAGTATTTTGTTAAAATAAAAATAAATAAATACAAATGTGTT